CTCCGCACTCATAGTGTATAACGAAGCGTAACTATGCATAGACTGTAGTCATATTATTTCATTTAGACATTTCGTTCGACACTCACGGTGGTAATATTGTAACTTGCTCAAGTGAAAGATCTTCCTTAGCTCTATTTTATTGCTTGCCTTATTTTGGAAGTATCTAATGATACGTTTGAGTATTCGTGAACGAACTACGGCTAAAACTGAACGGCTTAGGATGGGCTAACGGTGCCTTTTCTGTTTGGAAACTCCATATCGTAGCACTAGTTTGCGAGACAGCTCGTCTCATAGCGTGCGTACAATCCTTGCCTTGACTGCATCTGTGTAATCACTCTGTACCCATATTCATTTTCAGAACCTGTTCATTTTTTCCAACTTCTCACTTCCTGCGAAATGTGATAAAAAATATATTTCTTATTTATGACCTAAGTATGCGTTTGAGTAACGATAAACAGTTGTCTCAGTTTTACTCGAATTTTCCCTTTTTTTTGAAATAGTGAAATACCGTAGTATCACGACGCTGGGTTATGGTCTGCTTTCTCTGTAAACGACTCGAGTCAGACGGCGAGCGTTCACCGTGCAGAAAAGTATAGTTCTGCTAGGCTGCTAGAGGCACTTCACCACGGAACACACATGGGCCGTATGCTGAATGTTGGGGATGGGACGGGAATGGTAATGTTGGGCGGCAGGACCCACTGGGCAACGGTCGCACCTTTGATTTTGTTTCCATCCTTTTACTGTTTCTGATTGTATATTCGCACGTAAATACCTTTCTTTACACCAAAAGCAGCGATGAAAGAATGGAAACAAAGCTGCAAAATCAAAGGTGCGGCCGTTGCCCAGTGGGTCCTGCGACGAACCTCCCCAACATTTCCCCATCCCCGTCCCCTCCCCAACATTCAGCATACGGCCCATGTTATTGGGTAACCGCCGCTCTTTGACTTGGTTCACTTCCCTTTCTTCAACTTCCGACTTATCGTGGAACTCTTTCGAGAGGAGCACACTCGAGTACTCCTTAAAGCAACAGTCCAGGAACGAATTTCGCGGGCCAAAACCACCTATAATGAAGTTGTAGGTGAAAAGTTGGTCGAACGAGAAAGAAAAAGTGAAAAAAACGTCCAACAGGGGCTTAGACAGGGACTCCCCCTGCCGTTTTGGGGAGACGTGTGTTGGACGAGTTGTCCGAATCTGCTCCGGTAAATGCGCTCCAATTGTCCAAATCCAAAACCTCAATCAGTCGCGGCGGTCCCGCAACGACCGCTAGTCAAGCACGGACTCTGCACAGCGTATGTTGAGCGATCCGCCTCGGTATGGAGTGATCCGCCCCCTCCAAGAGGACTTCGACCCCTTCCAGCGCATTTTAGAGGTAGGTTTTGAACTTAGTGGAGCTTTGTATAAACTCTAGTTGGGCTGGGGCATGGAGGGCAAAAGAGAAAAAGTGGGTCGGCTGAACTGCGTGAGGGGGTTATCGAGGTCTCTGATCACGGACTCATGGACCTTAGTTTTTGGACGCAAGGGCGTGTTCTAGCACGCAGAATTCGCCGGTAAATGAAAAGGATGAGGGGTTATCGAGGGACAAATTGACCGTAGTGTTTATGGCGTCGGGAAGGTTCTCTAGGGTGGACGCTCGGAAATAGATGTCATTCTAGAGGGCGCTCATTCAGTAAGGGGCGCGGGGTCAAGGGGACCTTCACCCCCAACCCGCCGTGAACTAGGCTTCAGGTCCCCTGGGCTCACGGGGGTGCCGGCACTCCCCCTGGCTCCACGGGGATCCCGTACTTCGAGAAACCTGTGTGGCCAGGGGAGTGTAGGCAGTCTAGGGGGGTGGGGGGTGAGGGCAGCCACTTGATGCTCCCCTTACTGGATGAGCGCCTAGATGACATCTATTTCGAGCTTCACCTAGAGAAATTGGAGCCAAAACTAAGGTTCGAGTGATGTGGTGATCGAGGCGAGCGCTCGGGAGTAGAGCCCGTAGCGCGAAAGTTGATGTTAGCGGGACGAATTTTTGTTTGATTCGCATCTCACCCTCTGGGTTGTGAAGTATGCTCCGGAATAGTGCCGTAGTTGGGAAACCCCGCCTGGACTGGATTCCTTTAAGTGAAATACTCGCAAATAAAGGACAGATTGGTCAGTCCAGTTATTTAACACGTTGACGACCGCGCTATTTTTCGCTGTCTGGCGTGTGGGACCGCGCGCATTATTTTGACCGCGCGAGTGTGACATGACATCATGTCACACGGTCCCACGAGAACTCCTTTTTCTCAGGAAGTGTGTATTTGTTATCTTTCTTGTGTGGTAGGTCTCCGATTATGCGATTTTGGCCATTTTAGCGATTCCTGTGATTTGATCATTATTCAAATTTTTTTAGAAAAACTCGATAGCCCATCAACCGAAGCTTCTTTCCAGGGACCACGCCTTTTGTGTAACAATGCCTAAGTATGGCGCATACATCACGTAAATAAGTTACCTAAAATGTTTGAAAACCAGCTTAAAAAAGACTGTGACATGACATCATGTCACACGGTCCCACGTGGCCGAAAGAGTGTGGTATGACATCATACCACACGGTCGTCAACGTGTTAAATTTGGATTGTATACACGTAACAGGTGAGCGGACGGCATATTAATAACAAAAAGACATTTGTGTTTCACTTCCAGATTTTGTTTATCGCACTTTTGACTCAGTTTCAAAACCCGAATAGGGTGCAACTTATTATTGAAGAGCGCATTCCATTCTATAAGAAAATCTTTATAGTGGCCACCTACGTGGACGGCATCAGAAGAATTTGCCCTGGAAACATGGTGCACTGGTCGAGCTCAATGGGGTCTTCGAAGGATCGTGTACCATAACGACCTTTACTGGAAAGCGAGTTTCGAGGGGTTTGCATAGTGGGAGCTAATGCCTCTAGAAAACTATCCAACATTGAATCGATTCACGAAATTATGTAAGAGCTTCAGGCTGAAGCAGTTACGGTAGGCCTCCTTGAGCTTGACGACGGTGACAGATGACGTCATATTCTGAAGACGGTGAGGGCAGTGAAGGAGGGCCTGCGTCACTTATAGAGGGACATTTAGGGAATACTTGCTGAGGAACTTCCGTCAACGACGGCAATCTCTGCGAAGAAAAAAGGGCCGAAGACATAGGCAAAATGTCTTTTTTGCCCCCCCCCTGTATATGTGTGCCTTGAGACAGTATTCATATCTGCTATCTTTTCTATGGAACGATTTCAACGCTTGGTCAATCCTTTTTGCTGAGTGGATTCAATCCATCCATGCTAGGTTTTGCGGAGCAGGAATTGGACGATGAGCTCTCAAACCGCTGGGCTCCTTCCGTAGACAGCCCCTTTTGTGAACCCGGCCCAAGAACATTTGGCAAGAAGACTGGCCACTGAACCTCCTGCAAGACAAGAAATTATCCAAGCCTAAAGAATGAAAGCAATGTGAACGGAACAAAACAGCTGATAACTTGAAATTTGATCTGATGTCAGGAGGCAAGCACAGGCATGTCATGAACACAATCCAAACAGTTTCCGCTGAGAAAGTGATTAATGTTTCCTATCAATTAGTCGCTCTGTTTTGTAGTTGTAGATCGATTTCTTGGCTCAATGTTGAGAAGAAAAAGGGCAAGTTTCTTTCACATGACTCCTGCTTCTGGGTGATGGTCTTTGCTCTATCAATGAAGCAGCATCAATGAGCAGGAGACAGGTGATGCTTGCTAATCCTACGTTGATAAGGTAGGAAGTCAGCGAAATTCTGATAATGGAAAAGGCACCAATAGGCAGGGACCACCGTCCGTGATTCCATTCCCAAAAATTCGGACAACCCACCTCTTGCGGGGGGTTCGATACGACCCCTTACCCACTTAGAAGCCACCCTCTCACCACATGACTGGTCAATAGTATTTGCTTCTGAGTCGAGTTGCTTCCAGTCGACTCGCTCCAATTCCGCCAACTTTTTCTTCCACAATGCCGTCGAGCGGACGGGGGAGGGTGGGGGAAGGGAAGGTAAATTAGTGTAGTCAAACGGCAAATCCTCTAATTTTGACCACATTCGCTTTTCGAATTTTCTCAAAATTTCAAAAATTTTGAAACAAAGCGTCCAAAACAACCCCTCTGCATCCACTAAGGACCCCTCCAAATCCCAAAAATAATCGTGTTGTCCAAACTTTTGACCTTGTCACCAGGCGCGCCAGACCAAACACAACCTCCTCCAAAAACCAAATATGCAGGTCGTAAGGAAAGTTCTGGCCGTTTTCGATAATTCAAGCTCCATGGCATTATTTCTGGCTAGGGTTTCGACGGACTGCTACGTGTTACATATCGTTAGGAAGCACGTTTCTTGCTCTATCTAATCGCACTGCAAGCTTTGCTTTAGAGGGACTACTCCCACTTATTCGAAACATTAAATGCAACATGCTCAGTTTCACCTTTGCGAAATTTTGTTGACCATAGTCATGACCGAACAACTCATCCGAAGTTCATGGGTTATTGAGAAGACTCCATTCTACAAGGGGAGTCACGATCCGGACAAAAAACGGGTCGTTTTCGTTGGAGGAAAGATTGCAGAAGAAAGGCAGATGGTCCCACGGAACCGCGATTTTTCGCAACACCCTCCTTATCGACGTTCCCGTGCTTCTTAAGCTATCCCATGTAACTTGAAACCATAAATTGAATGCGCCCAATTTGGTAGCGGTCTTCTTAATTGTTTGAAGCACATTTGATCCCATCAAAAGTTTCACGTAATTTTTACCGAAGTTCGAAATCCAGCGATCACTATCGCCAATTTCGAGGCTATCGCCATCCCTATACAAGCTCTCCAAACTATAACTTCATGGCTTATTTTTTGCAAATGCATGGCCAAACGAATAATTTATATCATAAGCTGATTCCGCTTCTTTCTGCCCTAATTCGAGGTAGAAGAAGAAAATCGTGAGGATTGGCTTGGTGAGCATGCTGCATTCAAGGCTTTCAAAAAGTGGGACCAGTCCCTATTGAGCAAAGCTTACCGCGGATTTGGATAGAGCAAGAAACGCACTTTCTAATGATATGCAACTCGCAGCAGTCTGCCGGAAAGTTTGCTAGAAATAATGTCATGAAACTTGTACTGTCGAAAACGGCCAGAACTTTCCTTACAACCTAATAGATGCCCCTGCTTTCTCCACCCCGTTGAGAAGTGCGTAACGGACGTTGAACCCTGCCAACCGGTATTAATGCCAAGGGCGACGCTTAGACCAATCTTTTTCTCGCTATCTTCCTCTCCTTTTTTTTTTTTTTTTTTTTTTTTTTTTTTTTTTTTTTTTTTTTTTTTTTTTTTTTTTTTTTTTTTTTTTTTTTTTTTTTTTTTTTTTCACGGATAAGATGGACGAACTGCTTAGTTTCTCACCATCGCTCACACTGTACTCCTCATCAAGTTCTCTTTGTGAAATACGCCACCACCTTTGTTATTTGATTTAAAAATAACCTCAATTAGAGGGAAGCTGTGAGTGGCAAGTGACACGACGATAAATACGTGCTGTGTTGTCGCCCGGAGCGCGCCAGAGTCTTCATCCCTGCTGGAGTTGGTTATGCGTATGCAGACTTGGTCTGGAAGGATAAAAACTGGGGCTGGGAGCGTGAACCATCTCATTGGGCCCGCAAGTTCATTGGTATAGCGTCGTACATCCGCATCTAAACATGCGCACTCAGAATGTACACGAATGGGAGTCAGAATGCGTGAGCCCCTCCCAGAAGCTGAGTCTAACCACAATGCTCTGATCCTTTTGTTAAACCATCAATCCACTTCTGCTTCAGTTTTTTGGCTGATTCTACTCAGTCTGCTAACGAACTTCGGTTATGGTAGGCTTTTTCTCATCTATTGGCATGTTTTCGGAGCACAGTAATTAAAAATACTAATTCCAAAACAGAATTCCGGGCGGAAGTGGTGCAGTGAAAGTGGCGCGCTCACCACGCGAGCGGTCCGGGATCAAATCCTGGGTCGTGAGTCGCCCGGGCCAACCAAGCCTTCCATCCCTCCGGGGTCGGTTAATTGGTACCAGACTTGTCTGGGAGGATAAAAACACTGACTTGAACATCGGCTGGCCCCCGCAAGTCATTGTATAGGCCACATCGCATTCAAATGCCACTGCGAATGTACAAATGGAAGTAGAATGCGTGCCGCATCCCAAAACAACGGATTGTGCTCGAACTGCGGCAAGATGCCTTTACTCCTTTTATGCTTTAATCAAAACCTAAAAGTGTAAGAATTATATACCTTTACGAATAAGATGTGTCGTTTCCGCTGCTACTCAGAGATGAAGGGATGAAGCAAATGTAGAGCATGGTTTCAGTACGCCACGGTTGCTGTAAGTGCATTACGGATCCTTTACAGCTTTTGGGCAGAACGGACGACAGGCAAAAGGGTTGTGCCTGTCGTCCGTTCTACCCAAAAGCTGGAGGGTCGGCCGTTTTTATGTTTCCGTGGTCCGCGGCCGTGGCTTGTACTGCCACGCACCGCTTCATTCCCCGCAATTGAACTTTGTACTTGTGATGGAGCGTACGTGACAGGGTATGCTTTTCGGACGTGGTTTCAGAACAGCTGACAGATGATATGTCTTATGGTACCAAATATCGGTGAGACTGTACATTTTTGTTCCATCTTACCATGGTTTTGCCAGAAACTGCTACTAAGTGCTACGGAGTGCTATTCTCCAGCTGTATCGCATTTTCCTTTCTGCTGACTGTCAATTTTACCTGACTTCCCGCTGGTCAATCCCGTTGCTATTGGTTATGAGTCGCTACCTACTTACTCATTTTCCTATTCCAAATGTGATTAGGCTACAGGTTTGCTGAACTCTGGGACCCTTCATTATTACGCTATGGAGATAGAATATTTCCATTTGCTATTTTACCCTCATAGGGAAAAAAGCTCAAACAATGCCGGCTCGGGGGAACAGATAGGGGGGGCCGCGCCGAACTCCATTTCTAATATGTGTGGGGATTTCGCTCAGCGGCAGGTTTTCTCGGCGATTTCTCTCCCATCTATCCGATAAAGATCTTATCAACAATCTATTATACTTTTTAAATGGTGAGAAGATATGTTTCAATTTTTTAGACCACCAGTTAGTTCCTCTGAAGCACTGATCCGAATATATTTACTGACAGTTTATGATGCAATCTTCTCATAGCAAGAATGTCAAACTGAGCGGAACATAATGAACGGTGTCAATACTGTAACATACCAGTGAAGTACGATGCCCATAAATGGGTCGGTAGAATACTGCAACTGAAACTAGCATACTCGTGAGCTAAGCGGAAACAGAGACCATCAATATAGCACAGCTAGAAGCACTATGTATAAAAGTGGGTGAACATATAAATAATAAACAGGTGTTTAGAAAGATATGCCAAAAAACAAATGCAGACACATAATTGCAAGTGAAAGTGAGATAAAAAAAATACATTAAGAAATCGAGTGAATTAATAACAGTATCGTTAGGTTGCAGAATCGCGTAAGACTGAGCGAAATCTGAGAAGACGTACAAAGTGCATCTGCTGAAACGTAACTGTCGAACAAAAATGGCAAGGACAACAAGACGGAAAGCTCTTATGTCGGAAATGACAAACAGTAGATCAAGAGTTCAAGGAGGGTACTTAACGGAATGATGAGAATGTAGTTAACTGTAAATGGGTAATCTGTACAACATATAAAGTTCAACACCGACTGCTGTTCACCAGGTAGCTGAATTTACATCCATGGTTAGCTTACGACACCAAATTCGTGTTGGAGCGCTTGCAGGTCGTCTATCATGGTATCAAGGTTTTCCATCTGGGCATTCAGTTCCTCCGTTGAATTTGAAGGCTTAAATTGTCATTGATAATGTCGGTATGACCAATAGAAATATGATCATAAAGAACCGGAAATGTAACAAAGGCGAACCCGAACTCCAGCCGAATTGCTTGCAGTATCCACATCAACGTGAACCGGTTTCTTTTCAGCCTCGGTGTCGGAAGAGCAGGATGCATACGGGCTGGAAATAATAGTTGGCTGTCGCATATAAAAGCCACATCGAGGCCATTAACACACCTATAAATGTTCGTCACATTGACTCTTGGCTGGGCAGTTGCCCTCCCAACAGGCAGTTGTCTGCCACCAGCCGCTACCACTATGGCACGAGGTTGCTGCTGGGTGGACACTTGGCCTCCGATGGGTGGTGGCGGTGTGCCTGCTAAGCTGGGTAAACGACCTATAAACAGCAATAAATAGACTATAGAGAGCAATCGGAGAAGTGCTGGAGTGTACCGAAGAGCGCCTTGGCTTTGATTCGTAGGTGTGACTCCTCCACGCAGAGTGCGGTAGCCATCAACAACAGGAGGGCCAGCTGGTGGTGCTTGCAGCGGTACGGGTGGTGTTTCAGGTTCTAACGCTGATGTCGAACCGTACGGGGAATCACCGAATTCTATCTTGGCAATTGGCTGAAAGTAAATATTTATACATTTGATACACTCAGATACTTCAGATAAATCAAACCTGATGCCGTCCGGAGCCCGTATACACCACTTGAGGTGTTCTTTGTCGTTGACCTTCGAGACTCGATTGCGAATGGTGGTAGCTCCGTGACAGAGTTCCTTGGCCTGAAGCATGGCTCGTAAAAAATAGAGGTAGGGCCAGCTAACAAGTTCGAGGGTACACTGGTGAAACAACTAATGCACATGCAACAATAACAACATACTCTCCTCCGAAGACGGTCCATAACCGACGACTGATGCAAGAATCGGCTTGGCACGACCTACTATAATAGGACGGCGACCTTCAAGTTCCAAACGCCGCATCTCTTCGTCGTATGAGGAGATGGAATTTCGGCCAGGTGTTCGGCTGTGACGAACTGACACTGATCCATACGTGGAATCTGTTCGAAGGAAAACACTACAACATCATCAACAACAACAACACAACAACAACAATAAAGGTAATCCATGTTGCATATTCTTATCATCGGCCTGGTGATGGAGGATATTACTTTGGCAGCTCCTTACGGACATTCAGAGGTACCAGGGGAAAATATAACTGAGCACAGTACAGAGGTGGTGAGACAACCACACATAGGATTCACTGACCAATTATTACACATGCTGAGATTTCACCGAACTTAATCTCTCACAATCGTCACACATCTAAATATTAATTTTGAGCACGGAAACTGACCTTGTAAGCCATGATATCGTGGAGGCGGTGACTCAACCACATCAGGACCGGCTAAGTGTTTCATATCCACTACCGATGCACCTATCCCATTGACCATGTAGTCCGACGCTAAAAATGTACGTATTGCTCTTGATAGATCAAGTCTGACTGACCGCGAACTCACGTCCTCCTCGCATATTATTACCACCAGGATGATCTATCCAGAGATCTGCACCTTGTTGTTGAACGCTCGCCTTTTTCCCAGCGGTATAACCAGGATTTTTTGAATTCCTATACGAAATTATTGTAGCGGCTTCTTCAAGACAAGCCCCATAATGTAGAGCTAGTAAACTCTGAATTGCAGATCACCCACCTTCTAAAGGCGCACACCATAATAAGAACGATGCAGAGAAGCACAAGGACTGCAAACGCGACTACAATAGCAATGTACATCGGATTCGAAGTGAGCAGAGCCAATAGGTCATTCCATCGCAGACTTGATCCCTTTCCTGTAGGAGGTACAACTGCGCCCGTCGGTCGAGAACCGCTTCCGAAAGGTTCCAAAGTCTGTACTGGCGAAAGCGGTCCATAACCTTAAAATAAGAAAGCCATAAAAAACTGGTGCTTGCATTACCACAGAAAGAGATCTGCAGTAGGTAAGAGTGTCAAAAGCACCTTTCTCGTTGCGAGCTTGGATTTTGAAGTAGTAGGTAGTTTTAGGGAGGAGATTTCGAATCTCGTGACTTAGCTTGTCGCCATGGACGTAATGAATTTTCCAGTCCTTATCGGCTTGCATAACCCGGTCAGTATAATAAATCAGATATTCTGAAAAAGGACGTGATCGATATGCATTGAAGATCAGATATTACAGAAAATTTAACCACAACGGATCAATCTGATTTCAATAATCTACCAAACTGTACCTTCAACTTCACCATTTGAATATTTCGGAGGCTGCCAGTTCAGCAAAACGGCATGGGGATCACCTGATGCAGCGGGGAGAACAGTGAGATCACGTGGTGAAGATGAGGGAGCGGATGCGTGGGTTCTTAATAAAGTTGAATGAACACATCTAGATGATGAAAAAATGCCAGGAGAAGTTTCGCAAACCCTACTTATTTCTGGCCACCATACTCCAAGGACTTGGACTGGAACCGGCTACTTGCGATCGGACTGAAAATTCGTATTCGGTGTCAGGACGAAGACCATCAATAGTGACCCATGACTCGGACGAATTTATGAAGCGAGCTTGATTGCTATCAACACTGAAATAAGAAAATAAAGATAGGAGAAGCATAAAGCATACCTAACAGGCACAATCTGACGCTGCATTGACACTGGAACTAATGACTGATGAAAAAATCACACTAACTTTGTACTGTAGCGCACAGTGTAGATTACATTGAAAGCATTTGGATCTGATTCCGTCCACGAAACCCGAATACTGGTCGCAGAAACGGCCTCCGCATGAACACCGAGAGGAGTGCTCAAAGGCACTGCTGGCAGTGAACCATCAAAGAATGGCATTGACGAGTGGGACAGTGTTCTGCAATTTGAATGGCTTAGGCGTTATAAATACAATATTTGCTATTTAAAACGATTGAGAGGAGCCATGGTAGGGGCACTTGAATTTTGGCCGGGCCCTTTACTGTGTTAACCTTGGCACGTTTAGGGCCATAGTTAACACAGTAGGAATTATGAGAAGAGAGAATAGAAACAGTTTTAGAAACGGGAACTAGAGCAACACTTTTACAAGAAACAAAAGAGAAACACTAATTCATTTATTCCCAGCCCTATAGTTAAGAGAACGCTCACTTCACGGTTTCGTAGATAGGGAAACCAGATCCTGCTTGTTGAAAGCCCGCAAGGAGATCACATATTCTCTAGATGGACGTAGCCCAGAAATTCTGTGTGCTGTAAAACGTTGGCCCCAACACGTTCCATCGATATATCAGGAACATTGATTCCCCATCCAATCTGAAAAAAAGTGTATACTCCAGCAGAGACCCACAAGTTGTGGAAACAACTCACCTGATATCCTCGAACTATGTTGGTTTTTCGTCAGCAGGCGGTACATGACGATAAACGACTAGTGATGCGACACCCAGCTTGCGGACGGAGCCTCTCGTGAGAGGCACCCAGACTAATTCCTTCCGTTTGTCCATAAGAGAGGAAAAGCGTCGCGACAGGTAACCAATCCGAATATGGTCCCGTACCGTTCTGCAACAGCAAAATGTGATCAACGCACTAAATAATCCCCGTAAACACTCACGTGATTAACAACAGCCATCCGAACAAGATATTGAGTGTTGACATCGAGCCCCTGATTTGTGGGATATCTCTCTCATTAGCATCTAATACGAAAGGTGTTCACCTGTACTCCTCGAACTTTTGTTTTGTATGTTTAGCCTGGAAGTACACTAGACTAATAGAAGGGGCAGCTGGAAATAAGTAACAACAGAAACTGTGAATATGCGATGGGAAGCCGAAACATTCGGCCCAAGATCAGATGTAAAAAGCAACTCAACGTGACTTCTGGTGAGAAGTCTCGAGTTTGAGATTACACACTTCGAAAAAAAAGTAACGGATGTAAAAAGGAGGAAAGAGGAAGATGAGGGCAGCTCTGAGTCTAAAGAATGTTTCAAATAGTAATGTAGTGTGCAGCTGCTGCTTTGAAAAAAGGTTTGGGCACGAAGGGATAACTGAACGTTCCACATAAGCCTGGGGAGTTGTTCTTAAGTGCTTCCGGTTTGGCTTAATTGGCTATTTTATGGCCTCAAATGGCGTCAACAAACGATTTTAAGCCCCTTCAATCCCGTCTTATAGTTGAGAGGCTTTCCAAATCAATGGCTGTGTTGACCCACAACAGCTTAGAATACCTTGAACTTTCTAGTAAGTTCGAGCCATAATTGGGTATTTAAAGGCAAATAATAAAGCTAAATACTTGCGTCTTCTATCTCTTCGTGGTATGGAAGACCCAGGAGAGAAACTCAAATCAGCACAAAAGGAGAGGTACAAGAAAGGATTATTTTCCGTCATTACCCGACTATTCCCCGCACCCCCCCCCCCCCCCCCGTGGCGACGCGAAAATCATACACAAGACTTGGTAAAAGAGATATATGAATGTAAGTAAAAGAAGATATATGAAGTACCTGTATCCCGTGATTTCTCCATTCGAGCTTTCAGGATCTGGTTCGCTCCAAGTTACTCTGACGCTTGTGCTTGAAGCGGTTTCAGCAACGATGTCTCGCGGAGGAGACGATGGAATATCCGAAAGCGTGCGAACCTTGAAAGAGACGCTCTATGATCGACATCAAAAATTTGAGGGATGCGACGGTGGTGTTGGAATATGGTGATACGAGTCAGCGTGCATGATCTACACTCAACCGGAACGGGAAATGTTCATTGTTTTGGCTATAATTCGATTAGTTTTTACTTCGCTATAGTTCGCTAGAACTTGGGTATAAACGACAATTATAAAAGCAGAAGATGATGACCATTTGGTTGGGAAGGTTGTAGAGCACGTCCCTTTCTACTATTTTAGTCAATAGCACGTCTTGCATCGACAAAAGTGATCGCTATAAAAAGTTTGCAACTTGACAGATTTCAGCATTCTCACACACCCACCTTCAAGGGATAGCTACTCAGACCACTTCCGTTTTCTCCTTCAGCTTCAACACGGATCTGATATTCAGTAAACTTGTCCATCCCATGTAAAGTATACGCTGTAGACGAAATCTAAAACAGTATATTTAGTTGTAGATCACATGCAACTGGGAAGTGACTGGGAAGAAGGGAAAAACTTACAATAGTTTGCGTTTCCTTGTCATCGTCTTCCGGTGGATTTCTTATGTAAAAAAGTTTGTATCGAAGAGCTTTGGGCCCTCCTTGTGGGGGATCCCATTTGACTTCGATTGTTTCAGGACCTAGCGGCCGAGCAACCAAATTGGTAATTCGACCTGGTACGGCTTCTGAACATTTATTCTATTCAAATATCTGCACTGAAATTAATGAATAATGACGGTCACCCACGTTCTTTCTTAGTGGTAACCTTGATGTGATCACTGATTTTCCCCATGCCAGCTTCGTTCTCGCGCTACGACACGCAATAAGTACAGCGTATTCGGTTGCAGTGAAGTAACTGTTACCGAAGTCGACGAGGAGTTCAGCATTCTTTCTCTATAAAGGCGAGTTCGTGATACAGTGGATGCCTTGAGTAAGACTGTTCTATGGCGTACCTATCGCTATCTTCTTCCTTGTAGAATACGTGATACCGCATGATATTACCATTTCGCGATAGAGGTGGATCCCACTCCAGGTTCACAAATCGACTTCCTATAAAGATGAAGAAATGTTCAGTATCATGCTTACATGCCAAAATGTATAACTTACCAAGAGATCCAACTTTGAGACCTAAAGGAGCAGAAGCAATCTTCGGTTGACCAGAAGAGGCTGCTATAGATGATGAGTCTAAAGAATGCAAGTGACAATGATACAAAGAGGCAAATAATGTTAGTGCACAAAATGCTATTAAACAGTCCCACAACAAGATGATAACTGGACAGAGGCCACTAATCATGTCTGTTAAATGGTATCAATGGGGTAGACACTAACTGCGGTGGCCACACGCTTGAACAGTACAACCATGCACAAAAACTTGTTTGGCCACAACAAGTCAAATGCTCATGGAACGCGCCAAGGAACTCCAAAACCAACCATCCGCTGGAAAAGAAATAGGACTAGTTCGGACACTCAGAGTACTGCTATCCACACCAATGGTGGATAAGTAAGTAGGACCTGCCAGAAAGAGAATAAAAATATCAAACAATAACAAGACAATTAATACACAAGACACCACTTGTACCTGCACTATCGACCAAAAGCTGAGCTATGGCTTGATCGCTGCCCGCTTCGTTCTCGGCTATACACTGATACACACTTGGTCAGCTTTTACGAGCCCAAGGATGCGCAATCTGCACAATTGAGAAAAAATTCTGCTTTGAAAAGCAAAGTTGCTGAATTAAGCCACCTCGTAGGTTCAATCACAAAGTAGTCGCTGGCGATAATAGCCTCGCCATTCTTGAACCAAGAGATCGTGGGCATTGGACGTCCTGATGATGCGCATTCCAGCTTAATTATGGTAAATATTTCAAGTAACTCAATGTAAGCCAAATAACATATTAAAATACCTCAACGTCAGTTGTTTCTATTGCCACTTTATTTTGAGGGCGAAGTGTTAACCGTGGCGCTGCTGAAAACCTTCTCTTATTTGCCAAACGAGAAAAAATAGTTTTAAACTACTGCAGGCTGAGACAAGCAACAACAATAACAACAACTAACCCGCAACATTAACACAGCAACAGTTCGATCAAGTGAGTCATGAGTATCACTAGCTCGGCACGTATACAGACCCGAATCAGATTCAACAACGTTGGAAAGGAGGAGCGATGAAATCCCTACACGTCTTATTCTCAAACCATCTATGGCTATTTGTCGAGCATCTTTCAGCCTAGAAATGGATACTGGTTAATCAATTTCGGACCAAAAAGCCCAAAAATTAGTAATCCCTTGTGAAGAGCGAATTGACAGAAAGCTGAATGGTATACCACATTAATCAATCGCTTGTGTTCAGGCTGACATAAAACTCAAGTCAACACCTTATATTAAACGTATGTATACACTATTCACTGTTTCCTAGGTGTATATGTGCTGCTCTGGTTAATAAAAGATAGCACCTTACAGCGAACAAACAAACATTCCCAGAAGCGCCAACAAGAACTCACCACCGCACTTCTGCGGAGCCTTTTGAGCTCACAAGACATTCTAGCACGATATCATCACCTTCCTTAGCTGTCTGTACACGAGGAGAGGACACAAACTCGAGATCTTGCGAACTCAAACCTGTAATAAAAAATTCCTTAGTTACGAAGTTCGCGACAGTCTGATTGCAAGAAAACCATAACACCTACTATTTTCGATGCGGAGTCGTCCGCTCAGACTAGCCCTTCGTTTTCCTGCGCCTTCCACGACACACTTATACTCGCCTTCATGACGTGGTTGTGCGGATGCGATTTCCAGTGAATTGGAAATTGGTAGAATTTGGAAGTCAGCTAAAAATAAATGAGATACTAGACGTAACATTTGCAGAAAAAGAATCCAAGAATTGGGCGAATAATCGTATAACGGTTAAAAGAAATCATGGAATTTTTAAATCACAAGAGTGTACTATTATGAAAAGAAGACGCCCGAAAGGGCTTGAATTTGCAAGCCCTCACGTACGGGCTCCGGTCTAGCAAACAAGGAAAAGGGATTCGTATAACTATTTTTTTTGTTTTCAAATTTGCTGAGGTCTTTGGATGACGTAAGAAAGAGTTTCTCCTAGCAGCGATGGATGTTGAAAATGAAATGAGTAAGCATATTAGCGTTGAATGTTGCAGCTGTTAAAGGGTGCAAAAAATTGAACCGGGATTTTTTAAGTAGTATTCAAGCCATAGTGGCCGATGATCAGAGTTATTACGATTTGTTTATTTGCTTGCACGACCGGTGTCCAAGAACATAGTCCTCAGATGGAAACAGATAAAATAGTTATTAGTCCATCAAGCTACGAAAAGAAAGGCCAGATAGAAAGAGGTTAACTGTAATAACGAAACCTGGTTTATTTGGAAAAAATCCTCCATGAACAGTGCATGCTTCAAAGCTGAAGTGAAGTAAGCTAATAAGGGTTGCGAGATGAGTGAGTCAGACTTTGCGATTGGAGCGATTTTGCACCAATTGCAGGAGCGACGGATCGCTTGAGCGATGCGAGCGACGGGAGATTTACACCGCCGACCAACGATAATTCGGCGCCATCAGTTCGTAAATCTCCCGTCGCTCGCATCGCTCAAGCGATCCGTCGCTCCTGCAATTGGTGCAAAATCGCTCCAATCGCAAAGTCTGACATCGGCCAGGCGGTCACGATTGCTGTTTGGAACTATCTCGCAAGAAAAATACTATTTTTCCTAACAAAAAAAAACAGACATCCGGAACAGCTGCCCTGACCTTCACAAAAAACATGTAGCAACACTGAACTGCGATCGCGAAGAATTCGAAAAAAATTGATTTTTATGGGGCTTACACAAAAGTGCTTCCGTTTCTGAACCGATTCGCAGAGGACTAAACATGAGTTGGATCACTCCTACAACAGCATCGTAACTCAAGGTTACAAGCAATAACAAATGAATTGATACCCACTGTACAACTATCAAGTAGCAAAAAACCGCAAAAAGTCTCCTCCAGGAGAAGCTCACTGCGCGTTTGTCTCCATTACCTTATCGCTGCCGCAGTTACTATCGAAAACTACTACTCTGCGGTTTCTATGAAGCGATCTGGGTGCGGATGGTAGTCTAGCGATGTGCTGCACAGCCAGCTAGCTGGAGATAATCTGTTCATTCCTCGCACCAACACCACACTCACTTACATCTCCGCTGTGGCTGTGCAAGATTTGAGTGATCTTGCCGTAATTTGGAGAGTTCCACGATGAATTATATAAGTTCAGAACGCTTTATAGCTTCCAAAACTATTCAAGAAATAGTTCACGCACTCTCTTTCATCTGCAACGCACGGCAAGATGAATACCTTAACACGATTGGGAAGAGCTTGAGGCGCATACTGGAAAAATTTTCCTAATTTTGTCAACAAGCTTATTTACATGATCGCTCTATGGTAGACATCAGACATAAAACACTACTAAATAGGGGGCTGGTCACAAATTCACGACCTGATTCTGCCATTATAATAACTGTAAATGGTGCCCTTCGCTGCATAAATTTTGTGTTGGCAACCGCAGGATTTATAATCATCAATGTGTTGCAAAAATGTTGACAACTGCGTGAATGGCTGGCAATGTTTAGGAGCCAAATTGGAAAATTGTCTATGATCTGGGCGCTTCCTTGTCATTTGAAAAGTCGGTGAGCAGCAATCGAGCTTGTGCTTTCACCAGAAGAAATTTCTTGAATGTTCGCTAATGAAATCGTTCTCAAATCTCTAATTGTCTTTCGTTTTACTTCTATTCGGTAGAAGAACAACTTCAAAGGAGGGATGACTCAGTCAGCTCTTGTTTCACTTCAGCAGACTAAAATGTGGCTCTTCTTACGAAATTTCAGTGCACTGAATCAGAAGGCTTTAACGAAATCATAATCCCTCACTTTCGGAGGCAAGATCAAAATGAATGGCCCTTCTTTTGACTGAGTCTTGCGAAACTTATGTGGCAACCTCCTTCCCATGGTGCAAAACTGAAACGAGAGTATCACTACTAAAGAGGGGAGGAGTACATGTACACTCAATGCACTGCACTACACGTCAACACATCCTCACGCATTTTTCAACTTGAGAAAGCTCAATTCGATCTGTTGTTGCGTATAGATGGGCCCTCTGTGCGCGCTGTGCAAACAATCCATGGATGATTGACATAATACCCTTGCGGGCGTGTATACTCTTATCTTCTAATCCATCTCCGATCTCCTGCCTTTGGGGTGTAATGAATAGGACCGTCGTATGTATGGCAGCCTATCTGAGCAATTCCGATTTATGTATGCAAGAGGGGAGAAGCCGAAATTTCGTCAAAGAACGAGAAACTTGTTTCTTTGATAAGATCGTCGAAGTGTCTACGTATTTTTGACAAACAGTTCTATTGAATAGATAGAGCTTCTGAATTCAAAAAATGGTGCACTGCATTTGACAAACGGTGACTCACTTCCGCTTTGGATGACCTTCCCATTGTGATACCACGTAACAGCAGGTGGTGGTTTGGCTTGCTAAAATTCCATTTTTTACATCATGAGAACACTTACTAAGTAAAAATATGAGACAAATAATTATATCATGACAGTCATTGCGAACAGCCAACTGACCGTAATACATTGGAAGACGGCTGGCTGACCTGTTCCAACTACGCGATCTGTTGGTTGCGCATCGAACCTATGAGAAAACAAACAAATAATGCGCATTTCTGAATATAGTGCGCTGAATATTAATAAGCAGCGACTTTGCTGAAGAAGTGGTGGACTGCTAAAATAGAACTTACTTAGGGAGATCTGGTAACCTGATAGCGGATTTCCTACTCATGTAAGTCCACGTAAATCCATCATTGGAAGTCACGTGAACTATACAGCGATAAGAACCAGTATCGCTCAAAAGCATATCATGAATAGATAAGGATCCGTTCGAGAAAAGTTGCCTGAAACAGAACTCAAACCAAGGTGTACTCAAGCACCGACCTAATCCAACCAAAGGATGGGATTAGATAACCAAAGGAAGTAAGAGAACCATAAGTTATTCAGATATTCAAAAGTTGTACTCACATCCTACTACTAGATTTTATATTGATCAGCGATCCATCCTTTTTCCATTCTAACCGGACGTCCTTTACATTCGCCTTCTCAACTGTATACTGGCAATTAAGTAGTATGCGACCATCAGTGACGGTGGTACTTTTCGGCTCACTATCGAAGCGGAAACCAATAAACTGGTCATCTGGAAACACAGCTTCCAGACTTCCATAAAACAGAATTGAAAACATTATTTCCGCTGCTGTTCTCCGGCCAGCCTTCCTCGGAATCTACCACATGGCCACCCAACATAGTCTTTCCAACTACGCGTCACTTACATCGCTGTCAAAACGCGGAATGTGTGCCATTAGAGGCGGAGGGAAATCAGTCCACCATAATAGCAGACGCAATTAGGTCGTCAGCAGAGCAGATTATTGATGAGGAGTCAACATCCCGCCCTGCGAACTAGCCGAATGTTCGCTAAATACTCAATCATGGACTTGCTGGAGCAGACTACAACTCATTACCAAGGGGAGCATGTACGACAATGAAATTATAAAAGTTCGAGCCGGTCCCTATTTCAGCAGCACAATGCAGAATGCGCCGGAGGGGAGCCAAGGGAATAAGTTTAATATACTGAACCAACTAATAATTTAAAAAAACATAAAGACTGAAAAGATTCAGCGAATCCAAAACTGCTCACATTATTTTGACGAATAAAACTACAACATTTTAGTCAAGAATTCAGCTTTTCGGTAGAAAAGTACCGCTGTCAAATAGGGTGGAATATGCACAAGATCCCAATTTATGATCTAACTACAGCTATATGCGATTATTTGAACAGTCAGTGATTATATCGCTACTGAAAACGAAATTCCTTTAAGACCAAGGCACCGAAATAACAGCAGGCGCTCTTGTGTGACCTCGAATCTGTTCATATGGTGAGCCCATCAATCTTACGAGGGCTTTGTAGTAGCCAGATGGTGTAGACAGAGTGGCGAGCAGGAAGGGCGCAGAAAGGACACCGAGAAATCGTCACAAAAAGTGAAACAAACGAAGAAAGAACTTACTCAAGCCGCTAGCCCTTCTAGCGTGAAAACGCTTATGAGAGCTATAGATAACTGAAGAAAGGCAAGCAATAGAAGCAAATATATTCATCAGCCCTGAATAGAAATCAATTATCGACACAATTATAGTGCTTCTATATAGTGAAACCTATCGGCTCAATTTATAAAAATCTCACCTTTAAGGGTAAACATTTCTGTCCTAGCAAGATATTACATATCTAGTCTAATAAAAGACACAAATATCGATCTAGAGTATTGATATAACTCTATAATAACAGCTTTATAGTTCACTGATAGAGATCGATAACATGGATAATAAATCACACGACGACCACCACTGACGCATATCGAAAAGTGATACAACAGTGACAGTTTCTCAAAAAACCCCAGCGCAACTGTTCGAAACATAATTCCCAAAATGAAAGCGATACTTGTTAAGCAGAAATAACTGACAAACAAGCCCGTCACATTAAGAACATCCCCGACCGAACCAAGCAGCATCAATAACATCAAATTTTTGACCATATAGAGGACCGCAAAAGGGCCATCTCAACAGGAATTTTTGGCCGAAAGTAATGACTATGTACCAACAAGGAATTTCAAGCGAGAAACTGATTGCACTAGCAAATCCGGAAGCTGCCAGGATAAGCTGGCGACTCGAACTGGGTGGGCGGAGTCTCCAAGATGCGCAGTTGGCGAAGCGCCAGCAATTCAAGAATGGATTATCCTGCGTGCGGCTGCGCGGCGGTTGGCGTTTGAGAAGTTTTTCACGGTTGCGGAATTCCGTTGAGTTTCTGCCAGTTTCAGTTTTGAGTAGGTGGTTTATTTCTTCGTTTCTTCTGCTCTTGAGGATAGTAGTTGTGCCTGGTGAATTTTTGTCGGTTTTACGTGGTTTCGTCTCCTGTTTGATGCGTGTGAAGGTTTTAGCTCTCCTCTCTTCGAATTTCGTTTTTAATGGTGCTTTCGTCAGTTGAGGCCTTCGAATTTGCCCATCGCCTTCTTATTTATTTGTATCTTAATGTTCTTCTTGCAGGTATTTCGTAATCAATTCGGCTTTAGAACATTTTTGTTTTTTTGCCATGTCTTCTGGAAAGGAAGGTTGGCTTTCGACTGTAACTAAACTCTTTTCTGGTGGTGCGTTATTTTTTTTGTTTAAGAATTCCCGTGTTGTTTAGAGTTAGCATTAGTAACGTTAAATAGTTTCTGTCTTGCAGGAGAACAATCTAGTGACCGCTTGTCGGAGCAAGGCAATCTCAGTGGCCAAACATCACCCGGTAGTAGTAGTCGACTTCCCACGACCCGAAAGTTTGTTCCAGTTAACGGTACAGGTTAGTTTGATAGAAGCTTCACAGTTTTGGAAGTGATACTTTGAATTTTAGGAAGCCCTCCTTTGTCGTCTACTTTCGAGTCCAGCTTGCACACATCGCGTAATTTGCGATACTTAAGTCCGTCAGTACTGGAACGAGGTGTTTCCAAACCTGGTGTATCCAGACCAGTCCCCACTGAAGACATTTTTGTCGAGTCTTCAACAGCATCGGTATTGCTTGACTTACTAGACTTGCTTTATCTATTTTCAGGGTTCCTTCAACCTATATATTTCCAGCGCAAGCGAACATTTGTCCATGACCAGCGCCCTGCATCTGTGATGGACGTCTATTTAAACCGCGACAATCCTAAGCGGTCAAGGAGAGAACAGTTTACGACTAGCATGCTTGATGAAGAAGTTAGCTTTTTGTTTCCCTCTTAAAGTTTCCTTTCACTGCTTCACCTCTTTAGCCTCCGCGGATGTACTCAGATCGTCTTAATTCCACGTGGGTAGGGAGATCGATGGGGGACTCTTCATCGTGTGTTGAATTTTGCCATTCGCCTAGTTCTTCAAATAGATCGTTGATAGGGTAAGAAATTTTTACTCATCAGATATTGTCTGTTTCTTTAACACGTTGACGACAACGCGCGTTTTGGGTTTTTGCGCCG